TTGCAGTAAAAAATTTAAGGCTTTATTTCTCCAAGGGTATCAAAGTTTTTAATACTAAATATTTACTGAAGATTATTTATTGATCAGATATTGTGTTGCAATAATAAAAATTTTACTACCTTATACAGAGTGTCCAAAAATTTATATTAAGTAATTACTAGCTTTAAACGGCAATAATTTGTTTAATTTAAACGGAACACCCTATATATTTTACGTGAATCAGATGCACAATGTAATTGTCTATCAAATTGTATTGTTCCATTTTTTACCCATCTCTTCAAGTTTTCATAGAAAATGCATTTTTTTATATATATTTCTTTAGACCTCATTTATCACTATACCCATGGAACATTGACATTTTAGCTTATTTTTAAAAATGTAACAAATTTTCAAAGGGTACAGATACTAATATTGTTGATATAGTTCGCTTATTTAATTAAAAAATAAAAAAAACTGTTTAAATATTTTTTGTTAAAGAGGACCAATTAATATGATCCCAGTATTCAAACTACATTAATTGACTGTTTACGTTGTAGTAATAATTGCTCCAAATACTAAAAACTGAATTTTGTGTGTGTATTAGACAGTGTGGTAAAAGTAACACCTTATAAATTTTATTTCATTTATTGACAAATGCTTATTTATAAAAACAGAGACATTCATTTTTATATCTTATTATTATATTGATTTCTGAGCCAAATCCACATTTATTTAGAATATTTTATCAATTAAAACAATTTAAAAGTATGTAATTAACTAATTTTTGGTATTTTTGGTAGGAAATAATGGTGGTATATTTAATTGGTACACACTTTTACAAAGATTTAAATAGTTTTTTTTGTATGCCAATGGGCTTGCAATATTTACCACCTGTACAATTTGTACATATTATGGTGCTATAAAAAAATCTGAAATGTCAATATTCCATGGGTATAGTGATAAATGAGGTCTAAATTATAAGAAAATGCATTTTCTACGAAAACTTGAAGAGATGGGTAAAAAATGGTATAATACAATCTGATAGACAATTATATTGTGCATCTAATTCACGTAAAATATATAGGGTGTTCTATTTAAATTAAACAAGTTATTGCCGTTTAAAGCTAGTAATTATTTAATATAAATTTTTGGACACTTTGTATAAGGTAGTAAAATTTTTATTATTGCAACACAATATCTGATCAATAAATAATTTTCAGTAAATATTTAGTACTAAAAACTTTGATACCCTGGGAGAAATAAAGCCTTAAAATTTTTACTACAATTTCATAAAATTGAAAATATTTCAAAAACGGTAAGGTTTAAGTGTGATAAACCTTAATCAAATTTACCTTTATTTCAATCGTAGAATCCAAAAATAGAATAATATACAGGGTGTTCCGTTTAAAAAAATACAACTATAATATTTTTTACTTATTTGGGACACTCTGTATCTTGTAAAAATATTTTTAAATTGTAGCTCTAATAGACCTTCAACGAACTCAAAACTTACAATTTTTTAGCTACAATACTCCGTGTCGTATGTGGTTTGGTTGTGACAACCCTGTATATTTTTGCAATTACAATGATTGAGATTGTTTGATGAATTTTAACAACCCAACTATTTTAATTCTTCCGATTGGTATTACTTCCTGGGTTGACATTTGTGTGAGTATGCTCTTATTTTAAATAACATAATTATATAATTAAATTAAATAAAAATTGAATTAAAATAAAAATTAAATTTCTATATAAACAAATTAAAATAATTAAAATTCTTAACTTACTCTAACTAACATAACTAAATACAGAAACTCTTAGTAACTTAATATTTCACAGTGTCTTTCTTTCTTTTAGAACACAGGAAGCAGGTAGAAAAGGAAGAATAGAAAAAAAGAATTGAGCCGATGAAAGGCGAAATTAGTTTTGAAAATTAATGGATTTTGTGACGTGGTCGTCACGTTGTGCGCGTCGGCTTTTTTTTTGAACACCAGATGGCGTTAACGGGTTAAAATTAATTATTGGGAACAAAAACTATCCTAACGGAAAAAATTACCGATCAAGTCAAAAAACGGCTAGGCAGAAAATATCTCTCACATTGTTAAATATTATTGTCGCGACCTATTTTAAAAACGCCTTTAGGATTTTTGTTGAACTTTTGACTGTTATTTTTAAGTTTTGGTAATTTGTATATCTTATTTAAAATGGGATGCAAATGTGTTTATTTATAAGGAAAAAAAAGATATTTATAGTATAAAAAATTAATTTATTTAACAAAATTTAATTAAAAATGTGACAAAAGTTAAAAGTAGTTACCTTTCTATTGGTTCTATCGGACTTTTTTCGACTATATAAATCTTTATTTGTAAACTTTAATACATGAAATATTTTCAATCTAATAAATCATTTAATGATGTAAATAAGAGGAAATTTCTCACATGGGTGGTCAAATTTTATAATTTTCATTATATCAAACAGCCTCGGAGAAATGTTTTCAACTCAAAATGCCTTTAATTATGTTTGACTTATGTTGATACATCAATGTGATATTTGTCTAAAATTTGCAAAAGAATCCGAATCTCTGGATAACTCGAAATTATTTACCCATTTAAAAGCCTTTGATCATGAAAGTGGAAAAATTTGTTCATTTTATTTACAGGCTGAAAAAATTATTTATATTAAATTTTGTTATGAAGAAAACATTCAGAGGCTGTTTGATATAATGAAAACTATAGAATTTGACCAAACATGTGAGAAATTTCCTCTTATTTACATCACTAAATTATTTATTAGATTGAAAATATTTTATGCATTAAAGTTTACAAATAAAGATTTATATAGTCGAAAAAAGTCCGATAGAACCAATAGAAAAGTAACTATTTTGTCACATCTTGTGACCTGTGAGGCCTATTGTGTTCTTTCTATCCCCTTTCTATATCTGCACCCATTCTCCTATCCCTGTGCCCTGCACTAACTTTAAAAGATTTAAAAGTATGATTTAAATTATTAAATCAAATTAAAGTCAAACATGTGAAATATTATTTATTATTTTTTAAAGTTTTTATTTATAAGTCAAATATTTAAACATCGTTTATTATAATAAAACAAGACCAACGTAATACGTCCAAAGTTTTGTAAATGCTGGAGTAAATATAAATAGGTACATGATGGCAAAAATAAAAGACTTACATTATATTTTTAGGGCCACAAACAAAAGGAATTGTCTAATTAAAACACATATAACAAATTATAGTTTGAAAAACGTTTTGATAATCATTTGATAATGATTATTTTAATAAAACAAGACCAACGTAATACGCCCAAAGTTTTGTAAATGCTGGAGTAAATATAAATAGGTACTTGATGGCAAAAATAAAAGACTTACATTATATTTTTAGGGCCACAAACAAAAGGAATTGTCTAATTAAAACACATATAACAAATTATAGTTTGAAAAACGTTTTGATAATCATCATATAATCATTTGATAATATTATGATTGGTGCTATGACAACGACAATATTTTTTGAGAATTTGACAATAGTATGACAATGGCCGTTGGAAACTATGGAAACTACAAAAAAAATCTTATTTAACGCCATCTGGCAATAACAAGTAGCAACTTCTTAACCTAAAAATTAATAGCACTACCACCTAGCGCCTGAGGCTGGAACTATTTTATTTGAAATTTCCATGGAAACGGTGGAACCGCTTTTGCTATTTTACATTCCCGCCCCTGCATTACACAATGACTGAATGAATATTTTATTTATTTCTTGACATTAGACAATGTCAAGAAATAAATAAATAAAGTGCGGCAACTTGACATTTTTTACAACAGAGCTACCACCTGAATCCAGAGTGCGAAATTTAAATTCCAGTTAATCAGCACGGCGCCGGCGCCGAATATATCCATGGTTGGCAACAATGAATTTAAAAATCGCGCCCTCGGTTACATAACTAAAAATTGATATCAAATATATATTTTTGTATATTTTCTCAAATTAGTGAGGATCTGCTAGAATTATCATTCAACGAGTTGGGTTAGTAGATTCTACATAAAATTAACTATTGGTAATAACATTACAGTTAATTTTGAAGTTACAAAAATAAAATATACAAAAAATGTGACAGGTTAAAAAAATAATCAGACATTTAAATATAAAGAACTAAATTTAGGTAAAAAAGACAAAGCTGTGAATGTTTCTGTTAGATAAAATAGTAGACCAGGCCAAAAAAAAATTTATTGAGTGCCTTACAACCACATAACCAGTGTCCACCTTCATAAACATTATCACTAATATAACGAATACACGATTTTAATTTAGTACTGCTATTCAAAATATGCTTGGGAGATCCTTCTTCAACAGTTTTTAATTTTTGTGAATACACCATAGAATTAAAGGATGATTGCAAAATTATTTCTATTTTACAGTTGCACTCAGAATCGGTCATCGGGACGCGCGACGATATTTTGAGCATGAATGAACAGTTGCAGGGTGCACAACGCTCAATGGACCAAAATATGCTGGGAATAGCCAAGAAAGACCGTAAAAGAATAGAGTGGATACGACTAAAGACCCAGGTAATAGATGTCATCCACAGAATTAAATTCCTTGAATGGCAATGGGCAGGGCACCTTGCAAGAAAGACGAACAACAGATGGACCAGAAAAATTACAGCATGACATCCACGAGGAATTAAGAGACCTAGAATAAAACCAAACCTGAGCGTGTTATTAGGAAATCAGCAGGACCACTTGGGTACGCATAGCCAACAATAGACAACAAGTGGCCCACCTACGAAGAGATTATATAAATTGACTTGGTGCTTGTCAAGGAAGCTCATCTAACGGATGAAGACCAAGCTCGATCCAGAGCTGTAATCCCCGGCTATGACATAATTGGCATTACTTACCATCCCATTTATGGCCTAATAACATATGCTCGCAACGATATTGAAAACGTAAAGTTAATATCTACTTCCAGCACAGATGACATCTATTCGATCGCTGTTAAAATATGACAACCGTATGGCCACGCCATATTCTTAATACCTTCCCCTGTCCAGCTATTTATGCAGGCGACTTTAACAGTCCCCATACCAACTGGAAATATAACCATAATAATCCCAACGGAGAAGCACTTGTCGAGTGGGCTGAAGTGCATAGACTCCACTTAGTATATGATGCAAAGAACAGAGCATCTTTCAGATCTGCTGCGTGGAATAGAGAATTCATTCCGGACTTAACATTTGTGACTTGCGATGATAAAGGGCAACCGATCGATATAGCCAGAAAGGTACTTGAGGATTTCCCCAAAAGCCAGCACCGCCCCATATTGCTTGAGGTGGGCACTCAAATACATGTTATAAGATAGCTCCCCAGACAAAGATGGAACTTCAGAAAAGCCAATTGGAGCCAGTATAAGGAGGAACTTGAGAACTGCATAGGTAGAATTCCTCCCAAGTATAAGAACTACCATAGGTTTACCGGACTCCTTAAATCAATTGCCAAAAAACATATTCCTAGGGGTTACCGAAAAGAATATATTCCAGGCTGGAGTTCACATAGCGAAGATCTGTACAAAAATTTCCTGCGCAGCAAAGACCCTGAAATTGGAGACGAACTTCTTCATTCCCTGGACGCAGCCCGCAGGACTAGGTGGATCGAAACAACTGAAAGTCTTAATTTTCAGCATTCCAGTAGAAAGGCTTGGAGTCTCCTTAAAAAGTTGGGTGCTAGTAATCCGGTGAAACGCGAGGACCCTGAAGTAAGCCCAAACCAGATTGTTAACAGAATAGTCTCATCATATCTAGAGCTCCTAGAGACCGAGAGCACACAATAAAAATTAAAAGGGAACTACGCAATTTAAAGGCCAATAGCACCGAAGAGTGCCACCTTTCTATGCCTTTCGATAAAGATGAGATAACGGAAGCCTTAACGAATATCAAAATGGGAAAAGCACCGGGGTTCGATGGAATTCATAACGAATTTCTCATTAATACAGGACCAAATGTAAGACAATGGTTGGCAAATTTCTTTACCGATATATTGAATAATAGTGAGATCGCTAAAGACATGAAGAAAGCAAAAATAATTTCTGTCTTAAAGCCTGGCAAACCTAAAGACAGTCCAGAAAGTTACAGACCCATTTCCCTTCTAAGCTCTTGCTATAAACTCCTAGAAAGGCTAATTTTAGAAAGAATAGTGGGAATAGTAAACAACTGTGTGCCAGCATATAAAGCAGAATTTCGACCAAATCGTAGCTGTACAGACCAGGTAATGAGCCTTACGACACATATTGAGGCTGGTTTCCAAAGAGGACAGAAAACATGTGTGGCGGCACGGCTTGCTGTATAAGTTTCTGCGAATAGTTCGAAATATAAAATTTGCCAAGTTACTTAACACCAAGCTACACCAGAATCTGAAAATGATGATGAAGCATTCAAAATTACCGTACCGATAAACCAAAAAATTAGAAAATAAAATGTATCGCGCGCAATGCTAAAACTGACCGGACGATAATTCTCGGACAACTTAATGCTTTTTAAAATCCCTCTATCTTTCACGGCATGATCTGCAAGTGTCACAAAGAAAACGATTTAATGCAATTTAACGCCCTAATGAAAAATTATTAGTTCGTTGCTATTTTAAAATCTAAATATGAACTTGAATCCGGCCGACAGATAACTAAATAGGGTATTTATCTCGTCGCTCTTTTTAATTTCTTCTTTATTTTGGTTTAAATCTGCATTATATTTTTTATTTTTTTTTGTTTCAGAGATATTTATTTAATCTGATGCTTTTGATGGTCGAATTTAATTAAAATAAACTGGTAAATTACGAAGAGATCTGAATTTTAGGGTTCCATGTTTTTGAAATTGTACCTAAACTGTGAGGATAAACCACTACTAATGTTTACGCTAGATAAAAGAACCTTTTAGCTAAAAATAGGCAAAAAAACTAAGGGTAAAATAGATTCATAAACTCATTTTTTTCTAAAATGTAGTATTTGGCTTATTATACAGGGTTAATAGAAGGGTTGTTTTTTATCTTAAATTTAAAACACCCTGTGCAATAATTTTTTGAGTGACTTTTCTTAAAACATTATTTTTCGATTTGAGCATTTTGCTTTTTGACTCATGTCAAACTTACCTTGGTTAATTTTTAAGAAAAAAAAAATAAACTAGCCACCAACAATTTGCATTTTTTTAATTATAGGAACATGTATAATCAAAAAGTAAAGGTTTTTTTTAGGTTCTGTTGTTCTTTGTTTATCTATATTTCTCAGAGCATAATACCGAACACGACTACAGTATATAATAATTTCAATATCCTAAGTGGAAAGAAAAAAGATCACCTTTCTGTTTTGTACTATGGTCCCTTTCTTCCGATGGCTCATCTCGTTGATATTTAGGAAGGTATCATCGGTCCTGAGATGAAGAAATATAAAATTCAATTTGATTTGATGATCCTTTTCTGTCACCTAAATCAGGAGAATGACAATGAGCATGTTAAGATGAAAAAAAAATTATTTATCAACACTTACCTACACGTTAGTCCGAGGAGTTTTATCCAAAACCTATATTTGCCTAAATAATTTATGTATTAAATTTGCAAAGCAAACTGCAGCGTGTAAACAAAAGAAATAAAATGGCGACAAGTCAACGTCAACGACCCGACAAGATGAAAAGTGGTGTTCGAATGACAAATTATGGGTCACCAAAAATTGTTTTTGTCTCCTTTCAACGCACACTTTAGAAAGAAAAAGAGATGAACTGTAATACTGAAAGAACGTCAAGGTTTTATCTGTCACTCTTGTCAATAATTTATCGGTAAGGAAGATTCCTAGAAAATCGCTTGTAGTGAAGTTTTGAACCATTGCCAGTTCTTCGATAAGAAGTGTTATCCACCTGCTGCCAACAGTAGGTGACCAGTGAAATCACACATGGTTAATAAAACTCATTCGCAAGAACTAAACTTTTGACTTTGTTGTACTTTTGCCCTTGCGGTGTAGACAATTTGTCTCAAGTTTGTCTTGTTTTTGTCGCCTCGGTCTGGACCCGGCATTAGCTTTAAAACGAAATGTTTACTGAAGATTGAAGAAAAAATTATACAACATCGTTCTAAAGAACAACTTCAAGAACGTGTTACTAGATTATAATTAATTTTTCATTAAAACGATGTAAAAATAAACCATTTTTACCGCTCGCAACTTGGTCGATAGTTGTAACTGACAAGATCAGTCGTCGCCCTGAGCAACTACCTATCCAACTTTTAAACTAACCGATTAAGCTTAATGGCGATTGTTTACATAATATCGCATTTTATTTAGCATAATATTTAAGGCGATCGTTTTTCGAGAAAAATAACTAAGCGCGGCCCCTGCCTTCGACGATAATTATCGTCGCGAAGCCAACAATTATTGTGTCAGCCTCGCCTGATTGATACTTATTAATTTTCCTCTTTAAATTTAAACGATAATAATGACGAAATTGGCTGGGGAGACTGTGCGCAGGAGGGGAGGGGAGGGGAAAACGACATGAATTTATTTAAATAAATCCTGAGTTAATGTCCGACTGACATCTCGTTATAAAATGAATAGCTGTTTCGAGACTGTGTTATTCATTCAAGTGATATTTCTAATCCAAGATTATGAGAAGGCTAAATGATGAGGATAAGAGTAGTTTATATGATAAATTCACTTAAGCATGTGTCACTGAAAGCAAGTTTTTTAATTTTATTAGAAATAAAGTCTAAATGGGGTGTTCAAATCCGTAAACCAAAAAAACCTGTCAATACAAAAGAAATACAATTATACAGGGTCCGGCAATAAAAAACTTGGGAATTTTGTTTAAATGGAAGGATAAAGTATGTAAAAAAGTGTGAGTGGACCGAGATGATTTTTTTCAAATGGAACACACTGTATATTATTGCATTTTTGGTTTCCTTTCAGATCATTTTACATACTTCTAAAATATGAGTAAATATATTTGGATAGTTTCAGAGATATTAATCTATACTAATATACAGGGTTGTTCACCACATACGACACGGAGTATTGTAGCTAAACGATGAGATTTTTACAAATTGTAAGTTTTGGGTTCGATGAAGGACTATTAGAGGTACAATTTAAAAATAATTTTACAAGATACAGAGTGTCCCAAATAAGTAAAAAATATCAAAGTTGTATTTTTTTAAATGGAACACCCTGTATATTATTACATTTTTAGTTTCTACGATTAAAATAAAGGTAAATTTGATTAAGATTTATTATACTTAAACCTTACCGTTTTTGAAATATTTTCAATTTTGTGAAATTGCAGTAAAAATTTTAAGGCTTTATTTCTCCAAGGGTATCAAAGTTTTTAATACTAAATATTTACTGAAGTTTATTTACTGATCAGTTATTGTGTTGCAATAATAAAAATAATACTACCTTATACAGAGCGTCTAAAAATTTATTTTAAATAATTATTAGCTTCAAACGGCAATAACTTGTTTAATTTAAATAGAACACCCTGTATATTTTACGAGAATCAGATGCACAATTTAATTGTCTATCAAATTATATTATACCATTTTTTACCTATCTCTTTAAGTTTAGTAAAATGCATTTTCTTGTAATTTAGAACTTATTTATCAATATACCCATGGACTTGACATTTTAGATTATTTTTAAAGATGTACCAAATTTTTAAAGAGTACAGATGCTAATATTGTCGATATAATTCGTTTATTTCATTAAAAAATAAAAAAAAAACTGTTTAAATATTTGTTAAAGAGGACCAATTAATATGATTCCAGTATTCAAACTACATTAACTGACTGTTTGCGTTGATTAATAATAATTGCTCCAAATACTAAAAAACTGAATTTTGTATGGGCATTAGACAGTGTGATAAAAAGTAACACCTTAAAAATGATATTTCATTTTTTAATAATAAATGCTTATTTATAACAACAAAGACTTTATTTTGATAACTTATAATTATATTGATTTCTGACTCAAAAATCCACATTTATTTATAATAATTTATTAACGAACACAATTAAGTATGTCATTAATTAGTATATGGGCGGAAATATGTTATATTGTGTTATATTTAATTAATGGTATACTCTTTTATAAAGATTTAAATAGTTTTCTTTTTGCATACAAATGGGCTAGTAATATTATCGTTTTGCTAAAAACGATAATATTTCTAGTCTGTACATTTTGTACATTTGTTGCTTTAAAAACAATCTAAAATGTCAATATTCCATGGATATATTGATAAATGAGGTCTAAATTATAAGAAAATGCATTTTCTACGAAAACTTGAAGGGATAGGTAAAAGGTATAATACAATTTGATAGACAATTTAATTGTGAATCTGATTCTCATAAAATATACAGGATGTTCCACTCTGTATCTTGTAAAAATATTTTTAAATTGTAGCTCTAATCCTCTAATAGTCCTTCAATGAAACCCAAACTTACAATTTGTAAAAATCTCATCGTTTAGCTACAATACTCCGTGTCGTATGTGGTGAACAACCCTGTATAAAATCCTTAAGTGACTGACATACCGATTAATCACGATCCTGCTCAAACCACTCAACGTAAGAAGCTCAATTTTGGCATACAGGTTGATTCTAGGGTGTAGAGGTTCGATAAGAAGGGATTTTTCGAAATTCCAGTTCCAAAAGGGTGAAACCACCCCTCAAATATTACAATATCTTTTATTTAAAAAACGGCCAAGTTTCCGAAAAAACGCTTAAACACGTATATTTTATTTTGATTTTTTACATATTTTAAGATTTTTTAAAAATGTATACAGGGTGTTTCGAAAAATCTGGTCATTCATTAATCACGATACGATCCTGCTTAAAGCGCTTGATGTAAAAAGCTGATTTTTGAAAAACAGATTGACTTTAGGGGGTAGAGGTTCGATAAGAAGGAATTTTTCGAAACTCGAATTCTAAGGGAGTGAAACTATCCCTCAAATATTAAAATGTTTTTTATTTAAAAACCGGTGAGTTTTTCGGAAAAACTCTTAAACACGTATATTTTATTTTGTTGTTTTACATATTTTAAGATTTTTTAAAAATTTAAACAGTGTGTTTCATAAAATATGACTATTGAGTAATCACGATTCTGCTTAAACTGCTTGACGTTTAAAGCTGATTTTTGGCAAACGGATTGACTGTGGGGTGTAGAGGTTCGATAAGGAGGGGTTTCTCAAATCTCGAATTCCAAGAGGGTGAAAACGCTCTCAAATATTACAATATTTGTTATTTAAAAAACGGTTAGTCTTTCGGGAAAACGCTTGGACAAGCATAATTTATTTTTTTTTTTTACATATTTTGAATTTTTTTAAAAAATCATACAGGGTGTTCTAAAAAGTTAGGTAATTTCTTAACCACGATTCTGCTTAAACTGCTTGACGTAAAAAGCTTATTTTTAGCAAACGGATTTTTCGAAAGTCAAATTCCAACGAGATAAAACTACCTCTCAAATATTACCAAGTTATATAATAATATCGCCATATTGTTTTTCTCATGCTGACATAAATGTGAAAAATTTTTAGCCAGTTTGTATGTTAATGGAAATTCTTGCCTTGCTTTATCATCACCATTACAAATGATTAATTCGACGCGAACGAAGTCGCTGGCACACGCTAGTAAATAAATAAAAATATATATTTTTTAGCCTTTCTTAAAAATATAAAATAATTTTTCTTCGTTTTTTTTTAAATGGAACACCCTGTATATTATTTTTCAATAGATGGAGAATTAAAAACTGAACATTTTTTGCCTTCAAAGTATTTCAAAATTTTTGACG